ATCTATCTATCTATCTATCTATCTATCTATCTATCTATCTATCTATCATCTAGCTCTATCTGCCTGCCTGCCTGCCTACCTACCTACCAATCTACTTATCCACCTATCCATCCATATAGCTGCCCATCTTAGAAAAAGTGAGCTACATACAGCACAAAAAGGTTATAAAACAGTACTAATAATTCCAATTATTATTGGTTTTTCTTTTCTTTTTTCCTCAAATCTTTTCTCATATTGTTAAAATAATTCAACGTACTTTTTTTTTTTAACAGTCCCATTTCTTAACAATATACTGGAAAAAAAACAGCCGTACAATTCTCCGTAATTCTGTCATCCACGTTGTATTTCTGCATCCTTTTCTTCCCCTTTCTCCTTCCCCTTTTTCATTCCCCGACCCCAACTTTTCCTTCTCCTTTTCAAAATGATGAGCAGACTCAACAAACCAATGGTGGGATTCAGCCGGTTCTGACCGATTCTGGAGAACCAGTAGCAGAAATTTTGTGTAGTTTGACGAAACGGCCAATCCCGCCTCTGACTGGCCCCGCCAACCCCATCTCTTCTCTGCCTCCCATCGAGTCCCAGATAATCAGCTGGGTCTCCTTTGGTTGCCCTGCACGGGAGAACGGAGCTGGAAAGCAGGTTAGTGGGGTGGGGAGGGAAGGGGGCTTTGCAGTATATCCTTCCCCTGCCACGCCCACCAAGCCACACCACGCCCACCAAGCCACACCACGCCCACAGAACCGGTAGTACACATTTTTGAATCCCACCACTGCAACAAACTCTGTTCCAAACTGTCGAGAACGGTTTCCTTCTCTTACCTGCAACCCCGTGATGGACACTCTGTGGGACTCGATGGTGGGCCTCCGGGGCAGACGCGGGGAGGAGTGTGGGGAGGTGACAGGGGAGTAAGGAAGGGAAGGATAAATGTAGCGGCCGTTGACCCCCATGTTCCCGCTGGGGGACTGGACGGAGGGAGACTTTTCCTGCAAGGACAGCTTGCGACTCGAAAGGTTGACTTTGATCCAAGGTTCCCTGGTGTCCCTGGAGGAAGTCCTTGAAGGGTCGGCCGGGCCTGGTTCTCCGAGGTCTCCAGGGGTGAGAAGGCTCTGCTCCTCTCCTGGCTCCATGGGTTCCTCATCCCCCAGCCCCTCCAGCTGACCTGGGGTGGGACTGGGAGGAGCGTCGTACTCCGCAACCACCCCGAAGGACTCCATGGTGCTCCTTGAAGAGGTCACATTTTTAGTTCTGTCGAGCAGGAAGGCTCCTCTTGCGCGTGGCCAAGGGAGTCACGGCCGAGGAGGAGCTTTGCGGGGACAGGCCAGATGGGAGGCACACGGGAGCATTATGGGTTGGCCAGCTGAAGGCCTATGTTGCGAGAGCTGCTGGATCAGGACGAAGGAGAGACAAGACCAAGCAGGTGAAGTTTTGAGATGGACAACAGGCGAAGGCAAAAACTACAACTGGCAGAAGCTGTAATGCCCGGGTTCACATAAGACGAATCAAGTGTATCGTGGCTTAGAACGAAGGATTTATCCAGCCGATACGGGGGTTACAACATGAACCCGTGATCTGTGCAGCTCTTGGGGCTTTCTGAGCTTGGTTGCTGGCTTGCAGACGTTTCCTGACCCAACTAGGGAACATCATCAGAGTTTGTTAATGGCAGCGATGATGTTCCCCAGTTGGGTCATGGAACGTCTGCAAGCAAACAAGCAAGCTCAGAGAGCTCCAAGGGCCCCATAGTTCTTTTCTTATTCTTCCTCCTCTTCCTCCTCCTCCCCCGCTCACTCATAAACCCAACTCTCTTCTAACCATGATGATGTGACCTAGTTGGGTCATGA